AAAATCCACATCCCACACAAAACCTTTCCCACTAAGCGCAAACAATAATGATCTTACTTGTTCTTTGCAATCTTATACCCTTCTAGTCTGCCGACCCTATTGTCTACCACTTAAGCAAATATTATTTTATATACTTTTCTGGTTGCTTTATGAAAACTGCCTTCCTGGCATGTTTCTGAGTTTCTTTTCCTGTCTCAAAAATGGGGCAGAGGGCAGTCCTTAAATCATGCTTCTTGGTTAACAGGCAACCATTGGCAAGGTAACTGCCGTCACAGTCTCATTACCTTAAAGGTGATTCAATGGAGGATGATCTGGAGTTTGCTGGTATCGACAGATACAGCCAGAGCATTAAAAAAAAAAAGATAATAGCAAGCCTCACTTAATTTGGGATCTATTTCTAAAGTGAGAGAGCCATGGTCCCAAGAGTTTTCAATGAGAAAGATGAGGTAGAAATGAGCCAAAGAGATGCCATAATATTGTACAAAAGTGGTCATGCTGGCCCAAGATGCTGATGCTCCAACCTCACCCTGTCCATCACCCCCCCCCCCCCCCCCCGGAGGCCTGCGATCACCCTTCTCTGCTACTCTGCCTCCAAGGTCTGAATTAACGCTCCTGCCCACTGCCGCTATGCCCTTTGAACGGTTCCAGCTTGCCCTGGAGAGCCGTGACATTTTAGTGGTGGGTGAGGCTAACTCCTCTGTAAAGAGTGTATCTGTTGGGAATGCAGTTTTTGGAAGAAAGACACCATTTAAACAGAACACTATTCCTTTGACAGCCCCACAGAATGGGGCAAATGAATTAGAAACAGCAAATCAAGTCCAAGCTGGTATCAAGCCTGGGGAGGCTGTGAAGCGCAGTGCCCTGTTTTAAGCCGGCCGCCATATTTTGCCATGACCAATGAATTCCATCACTTCAACAGGAATATACTGGCTGTTAACACAGTCAAGAAATGCTTTTCTTGGAATACGGTGAAGGAAGTAAAATGAGCAGTAAGTTTATTGGAGAAAAGATTCTTTTGAAATGACTCTTCGGACAACACACTCAGAATGGAAAACTTTTGGTGTCATACGTTGTAAGAGAGCATGAAGAGTGTTTTAATAATGAGCCAACATCTTGTGTCATATAGCTAACAACTTGGCTTAGACTCTAACAGATATATACAGGTAGTTATCTACCCAGAAAATAACGTAAGAGCCGCTGCCATAGTTTATTCAAGAGCCAGAGGTACCAGAGCCAGGGTAAATAAATGCCACTTCCTATTCACAACCACTAGGACTTATTGAACTAGAAATTACTCCAAAACTAGGCAGTTTTTCCAAGTAAGAGATACTTGGACAACAAAGGAAGAGACTCCCAGGCTTTTCCATGAGTTTGGGCCTGCATCCTGAGACTGCCCAGGATGGGACTGGTTCAGGGGAAGAGACCACCCGGCCACCTCGTGTTTGGAATTTTCCTTGTTACACTGTGTAAATTTCTGAAATAACATGATTTCTTTCAGAGCATCTAATTTTGCTTCTCTTAAACCAAGATACTTTTGGGGATATGCAATCAATGTGAAATATTTCAATCCATTTTCTCTTTGCCTTTAGGGAGTTTTACTACTATTACAGTGGAAAATACCTGTCATTAAAAGAGAACAAGCTATTTTTTTAATATGCTCATTGTGAAAGTAAAAAAAATTACTATTACCAAGAATGGGTGTATATATATATATAT